TAGGAAACAGATCAATTAAGTCATAAATCAGCACTGGAGATGTAGAGTTCAGGTGAAATGAAAGCAGAGACACCAAAGCCACAGAAGAGTTTGTGTTGAATGAATATTTTCCTTTCTAAAATAATCCTGTTAAACAATAGGAAAACCTTAACTTACATCTTTCTTACTCGAAATGAAAAAGCAAAAACTTCCCCCTGCCTTCACAATCATCTCAGCATCAAAGAATGTGTTCAATAGAAATATTTTTCATTCCCTGTAAAGGAATTCTGAAACTTCCAGTATTATCTCTAATTGATTAAACTGATGTTCTACAGGGCACCAGAAAGTGCACTAGTTTTTTTCTCCAACAAAGGAACAACATTACAAAACCAGAGGAAAAGTATTTGGATGTCTCTTAATGCTATCAACTCTGAATGCTTTCTCACGCCATGTGTTCTGTAATGTTGGCAGTCGTTTTTCTCTCTTTAAAGCTCTGCAGACTGCCCTGAACACTGCACGTCTACTTTTCAGCACCACTTCCTATAAAAAGTACATACTGTATGTTCCCTAAGGTTAAACCCTTCCAAGATGTAACTAGAATATTGCATATTAAAGCAAAGATGAATTAGATGCAACAGTAAAATGTTTGGTTTTCATAATGCTAAGTCAAAATCATTTTCAACCCCCTTACCTACATGATGAATACTATATCTCCTTGGATGTGCCTGTCTTTTTTTTTTTTGTGCTCTTTTTGAAAAATCTTCCAAGATTTTGGTGTTTGTCATTTCACACCTCAAGGCCAGAGTGGACTTTAACCGGAATCAAAATCCGTCCATGTGGTAGCTATTACGCACATGCAGTTTCCCACACTGCAGAAGCTGTGCTCCCCAATTATGGTTATTACTCGGCATGCAGCTCAATCATACTTACGAAGATTAAACAAAGGAGCAGCATGATAGTCATCTGGTTGAGCTTAATGACTAGGCGAACTCGAGTGTTGTTTCAAACAGTGTCGCCCAGCCTGAGGCTGCTCCTGGGATCACTGAAGCTGCAGATTAAAACCAATCAGATAAAAGACAAACGACAGGCTCTCTTTAAACTCTTTCCCTGCATCGGGATGGGTAGGTGTGTGCGTGAAATTCCTCTTTTCTCCAGTAACTTATTTCTTATTTTTCCTTCTCAGAAATGCTGTCCTTATTTTATGTTAAACAAAGTGGATGATTGGATGAAATCGCTATATGACAAAGAGGATATAGGTTTATTCTGTGCTGGAAAGAGAAGAAAAGTTGCAAGGTTTTGGCCATGGAGCCTTCTTCGGATGTCTCCATGGCCGAAATGTTGTGTTTTCTTTATTCCCTTTAAGTATATTGTTATATATTGTGTACATATATCAGTACACATCCACAGGGCTTTTGGGCAACTTCTCTATGTCTCCCTAATCTAATTTAATATCCAGCTGCAGAACAAAGTGGAGAATATGATTCTATATGTATAATTTTGTAGCATAGTAGGCCCTGTGCCCCACCAGTCCTCACAATCTAATTTAGAGCCCACCCAAGCTCGTCCCTGGAGAGCACAGCGGTAATTATCTGGGAGGTCTCCTCATTCCTGCTCTGTGTTGTGGTCGGCTGGGTTTTGACTCCTCTGCCGTCTTGAGTTCTTCAGTGCCTTAATAGTCACGGGCTTCAAAAGGCAGTCGCAGCACAACAATACAAAGATGTTGGAGCTTACGTCTGTCATGGCATAGTGGAAGTCCTGGTGCTTAGCTTGAAATAATTAAGCAGATTAATTTTGCCTGTATCTAAAAGGTTATTATACTCCATTTTAGAATTAGATTTGAGACTTGGGGCCCATTAGGATGAAGTTCTTAAAAGGTAGTGGAAACTGAATTAGTTCCGAGAACCCTTGTCTTCTGTTAATCATTATTCTGTGTATATTAAGGCTGTTGACGTGGGCTTCTGGTAATAATTGCGAGTCTGTTCATGCAAGGATACTAGAGCAGATTTGTCATCAGAAGTGATGTGGCTGGCGGTCTGGGGACTCAGAGCTCAGATCAGTTTGGCACAGCATGCTGATTGCACTTCCGAAACAATTTCTGCTAAACTTGGGTCAAAAGGCACCAGCAGCAAGTTAAAAAATAACGAGAGTCATTTTGTATGAAGTGTATCACTAATGCAACTTTGAGAGGGAAGACCAATACTTTGTACATGCTTCATCGGCATTCGTACTTTTCCCTTTCTGTTGTGGCATTTCATATAGCGCCTTTCATGGTTCATCGTCTCAAGGTGCAGACGGGACAACTGTGAATGTTGTCACCGGTCACGTGCTTTGGGTTTGGAAGATTATTGTTCTTTTTCTTATCCTTTAGCAGGAACGCTGCAAGAGCCTTCAGGTAAACTTCTGAGCGTTATGATTGCACTTTCAGAAACAGAAGTGCCACACTCAGCGCCAAGCAAAATGAAACCCAGTCAGTGGGGCGTTACTGTGGTCTGGCTGAATCACTTTGACGTACATTTGTACGAATTACAACCAGCAGCCATATCACTCTGCAACTTACAACTGGCAGCCCCACTGGAGCCCAGCAGGTGTGAGCCTGGCCAGTACCTAGATGGGAGACTCCTGGGGAAAAACTAAGGTTGCTGCTGGAAGAGGTGTTAGTGGGGCCAGTAGGGGTTGCTCACCCTGCATTAGGGGCATTAGGTCCATGTGTGTCCTAATGCCCCAGTATAGTGACGGGGACACTGTACTGTAAAAGGCGCCGTCCTTTCGGATGAGACGTAAAACCGAGGTCCAGACTCTCTGTGGTCATTAAAAATCCCAGGGCATTTCTCAAAAAGAGTAGGGGTGTAACCCCAGTGTCCTGGCCAAATTTCCCCCTGGCCTTTACCAATCATGGCCTCCTAATAATCCCCATCTCTGCACTGGCTTCATCACTCTGCTCTCCTCCCCATGGAGAGCTGGTGGGTGGGGAGTGACTGGTGCATCATCCAGGTGGGGCTGCACACTGGTGGTGGTGGAGGGGATCCCCACTACCTGTAAAGCCTCTGAGTGGAGGGTCCAGAAAAGTGCTATATAAGTGTAAGCAATTATTATTACATTTACTTGCGCCGAGAATCCACTGTCAGTGAATAAAACAGGGCAGGAGAGCATTGACATCGTGGCGGTGCAGGGTAAAGAATCAGGAGCTGGGGGTTGTGGAAGACCTGGGCTTCTCCGCTCAACTTCAGCTCCCAGATCTTTTTCAAACAGCGACTGTTTAGTCTGCAGCTGGTGAGATCCGTTTTGTTAAGGGATGCTTGTCTTGGCTGGACCCCTCGGTCCGCATTGCAGTCAGGTTACAGCGCAGGCTGGCCAGGTCTATAGTTGGCCATTCAAAAGAAAAGAGAAAATGTTGGTGTCTCTCTGGCCTAGTTGCATGGATGCCGACAGTTCCTTGCGCCATACTGTGTCCTGTTTAATTTGTCATTCTCCGAGCCGGTGCAGAATCGGGACTGCTGCTAGCACATCAGGAAGCATACCACCAGCGGCTTGTGTTCCTAGCCTTTAGTGCCAAGGTCATTATGGATCTCCAAAGGCAGGGTGATGTTTTTTTGGCAAATTAAAACTCTTTTTCTCCCTTTTGGGATTTCAGTGGAACATTTCTTTCCTAGCCTCCTGAAATAGCTCGCTAGTAGTAAGAACAGAGCTCATCTAGTTTTGTATTATCTACAATGACTTAAGAAACAATTCAAGAGCTTACATGGAGTTTCTATCTGGCTTTGTCAGCCTCCATATTTCATGTTGGAAATAGATTTTTTTCCCATTAAGATACAGAAATGCTCATATGTTTCTGAGTCCTTGCAAAGGGGAAAATATGTACATTATATATGTAATTTCAATTTAATTTGGCCAAGCTGGAGGAAACGGTTGCGTATGAACTGACCTGTACAATTTATGTGAGTCATTATGAGCCCCTGAAGGTTCCCCCCCAACAGTCTTGTGCAAATAATTCAAGATTTGTCAAAGTGTGTCATTAAAGGGGTTGCATTTAAAAAAAAAAAATTCTGGGAGATGCACACGTGGTAGAAGCCAGGAAAGAGGAGTTATGTTCCAACTGAGAGACAGCCCTATGGTTTTGTTTCCCCACTGGCTACATATTCTCTCATTGCCAACTTTACTCAGCCCTAAAGTCTTCACTTCTGCTTGTGTGCTGCAATGACGTCAACGGAGGGACCCCTAGACCTGCACGGAGAGAGGAAGGACAGTGTAAGGAAGGAGCATCAGCATGAACATTGAAACAGATCGTTTCACCGTGGCTTTTAGTACAACACAGGACATTGCTTCGTTCTTGAGATCATTTCACTTCTTTTTATCCCCTGTCCAGTTCTCCATAAACACTATGGGTACCTGCCCAGCAAAGATGAGTTTTAATTACCACGGCTGGTAAGGATCTAAACATAGCCAGTTTTGATTAAATAAGGACCCTGTAAATCCTGTCCAAAAACCAATCTTCAGACATGAACTTGCTATCTAACAGGATCTTGACACACAGATCTGATGCCGATATTTAAAGGTTGAACCGACCTTTTCCTACTTCCTGGGATTCGCTCGAGTTGGGGTCCTTCTTGGGCCTGCCACCCTCACAGACGTGCGACTCTGGCTGCCCGTGTCTCCCCTCCTCTGAGCCGAGGGGTACGCCACCACCTGGGGGGAGTCCTGGCCGGCCTGCTGTCTTCTCGATTCCCTCATGTCTTGGGCCATCTGGGCTAGAGTTTGGGCCGGATTGGTCTGAAGCCTCTGGAAAAGGCTCTCCCGGCTAACGGGTCTCTCCGGGCAACTGAACGTCAGGGCCACCCCGGAGTTCGACTTCATTTCCCTGGAGAATCCGTCCGAGGTGCCGTCGAAACAGCGTCCGATGGCGATTTCCTTGGCCACTCGGGGGTTCTGGTCCGTGACCGTGTAGATGCCGTAGTTGTGCCCTAGGGGGTCGACGGGCGCCAGCATGTTGAAAACGTGGGACTCGTTGTTCTGTGGTAGGGGCGGGTGCTTGACGAGGTACTCCTGCAGGAGGCTGTTGATGCCCGTCCGCCTGCAGTTGCCCTGGGGGATGACCGCGATGAGGGAGCGGTCTACCCTGTCTTGGTCGAAGAGCATGCCGCTGCACTTGAACTCCAGGCAGGCAGCGGAGCTGTTGGCCACGCGCATGTCCCGCGCGCTGCGGATGTCCCTGATGCCGTAGAGCTTCCCCTTCGTCCGGGGGTGAGTCCCCCCCAGGTTCCTTGACCTCACCATGACCTCGACGGGCCCGTTGATCTTGACCTTGATGTAACAGGCTCGGAACTCCTGCGGGTTGGGCCACCAGGAGAGGTAGTCGCCAGTCCAGGACGTCAGGTCGCCCTCCTGGAAAGGGATGACGTCGTACTCGTACATGTCCTTTTCCACGCGGAAGAAGCGGAAATGATTGGCGTCAAAGGGGGCGTTTTCGCAGTCTATGCGGCCCTGGTAGGGATATATGGGCCCATTGGTCTCCTCTAGGTTATTGGGATTGGGCTTGGCCAGGTTGATTTTGAAAGCCGTTTTCTTCAGTGCATGGTCCTCATGATCGGTTCTGCGATAGCCCAGTTTGTCCAGGTAGGGCTGAGACACTCCGATAATATTTGGGTTCATTTTGGGACTGGAGGCAGCTGCTTCCAGCTCTTCCCCGCCCATAGTGGCGGTGACGTAAGCTGTGTAAGCATCTGGCCTCAGGGCATCGCAGAAGGCTGGCAAACAGGCGCCATTGGAGCCAGTTATCACGCTGTCAAAGCGGCCCCACGCTCGAGGGTTGGAGGAGTACCCTGGCCGAGGCTCCAGATTGATCAGACTGATGACCACTCCTTCCAGCTGCTCATTGTGCAGGAACTTGTCACTCATGTAGGCCCGCACCTTGACGTAGCAACGCCGGCTCTCTGGCACATCCAAGTTGAAAAGCCGACGCTCCCGGATCTCCATATTTCCGATCAGGAACGTGCGTTCCTCCCGCTTGGTCCGGCCGTTGCCCTGGCTGGCAGCCCGGGACACGTGGAAGTCGCTCTCTTCCTCCCAGATTCCGGTGTCGGGGTTGAGGGACCACAGCTTCATCTTGGGGATGTGCTCCGGCATTTTCACGTGCTCCGTGTCCAGGTACACCTGCACTTTCCCGGCCCCGAGGGCCTCCTGGTTGGTTTGGTCTCGGAAATCCACCGAAAACATCCCGTAGGTCCTCAGAGGGAACAAATCTCCTTCCTCGTTGACAAAGTTGAGGTCCCCAGGTGCCGCAGAAGCTGTGGTGATGTTCCTAGGATCAAGGAAGGTCACAGACGCCTTGACAGTCCCTTCGTAGAGCTCCCCGTTGCTTTTGTGGAAGGAGTTTGGTGGTATCACGATCTGCCCAATGGGGTCCTCCCCTTCCATCTCCCCAAGATAAATGGTGTTGGTTTCTGCCGAGCTGATGTCTATCGGTTTCTGCTTCAGCATCACTTTCACATCGTGGTAGACCGCCCCTCCCTTCTTGTCAAAGACTAACACCTTGACGGTGTCTACGAACCTCTGCAGCCTGTCCACAAAGCTCACCACCAACCTCTCCGTGTCTGGCGGGACTTGAATGGTGAAGCTGCCCTGGTACCCCGTGACGCCCACTTTGTCCTTCCCGATGTAGATGTGCCCGAACCGGAGGGGCTCCCCGGTGTCGGCCGCCACCACGCGGCCGCGGATCAGCACCCTGGGCTTGACGCACTTCCGGCAGCCGCACTCGACCACGGCCCAGATGGGGAGGGTGTACCCCCCGCAGTCGATCTCCCGCGTCTCCATGCGCTTCACCCCGCAGCAGTAGTCCGAGGCGTCTGTGCAGCGGAGGTCGAAGTCGAGAGAGCCCGCGCACTTGCTGTGGGGGCAGCGCCCGGCGTTGTAGAACTGCGAGTCGGCGCCCGCTTGCACGCAGTCCACTGGCAGCTTGATCAGGTGGTGCTCGGGTTTGGACACACAGGAGGGCTTTCCTTTTCCTGCAGGAAAAACACGGAAAACAATAGCATCGGCCTCGGAAAGACTTGTTCAGCACATTTCATTTCCTTGGGGAGTGATTGCATTCAGCGTAAAATGCATCCTTCCACCCTTCTGTCAATGGTTTTCATAGTCTGTCGTATGTATTTGCATTTTTCTGATAACGATATCCACACTTATCCACACCAGCCAGCATTAGTTTATATTCACTAAGAAGCACACGATCGCACTGCTGACTAGAATGTCTTTCCTGCTGAGTTCTGAGATCTGATTGCTAAACATACACAGCTGGAGATCAGAAAGAGAGGCTTATTGTTCTGTTGAAATGTAATTGATTGAGGGCAAAGTGCCTCATACGTGCACCCTGTTTCAAATGCCTCCATCCACTTGGGTTCAATTTACGTCCCAATAATCTCTTTTAAGTCCCTTATGTTCCAAAATAAATGGATTATAGCTGACTGAAGATGTGGGCAACCTGGCCCTGAGAGACATTCGGTGCAATTTACAGCCATTGAGAAAATGACTCCTTTTTTAAAGAAAACTTTGGTCGTTCATGTACTGTATATTGTGTACTGCTGTAACTCTTCTGCTAGTGTGTAAGGACCAGTCAGAATGTGTGGTGTTCACCAGTGTAAATGCAAATCAAAGTTGAGATATAAATAGATGGGATATAATATATTACAGGATAATAAGCCTGTAGCCTTGTGGCCCATGAAAAACAGACTTTCTTGAATTTGTTCACTGGGACATATTTAGCACGTTGTAAGAATTAGAAAAGTAAACTGATCCATCTCGGGGAAATCTAATAATGTTTGCTTTAGCACAGCTATACGGCAGAACCCTGAAGTCACTCTGTATCTTGGTTAACAAGCATCAGGGGAATTTGCAGAACGGGTATCTATCTCCTCACAGACGGAGGAATGCGTAGCTGTCTGACTTGACCTAAAAAAGTCAGAATTTATTGGCAAATGTGGATGTTGATTCAACAAACATGGTCGCAGCAGAAGAGGTGTTTGGGGTTTCAGGGCAATGCGATAGTTTTTAAACTGCTGGGGGAAATCATACTCTTGCTTCTGGATCTCGAGTGCGTTTCAATCAACCCAATCACGTCAGGATGATTCTCTTAGATCTACAGCAGAAGGGACAATTTGGGGCTTGAATCAAATATCAGGGAAATAAAAACATTCTGCTTTCAGGAGTGGCCACAGATCAGAATAATCCAGTGTGCCAAGGCTTTGAGGGGTAATTTATTTCTGCCTTTCAATCACCGATTTATTATTGTAAGCAAATGTACAGTATATGGACATTGAAAGGAAAATGGCTTAAAATACACTTCTGTTTTACAAAAGGAGTGAATGGGTCGTTTAAAATTGCTTTTCTGCAAAGATCCAAACGTTCTGCTTCGATTTATTCATTTATTGAGTCTTACCCATTCCTGTAAAGCCTGCTAGCTCTTCCGTGTGCAAGACTGCTTACCCAGGACGGTGAGGTGGGCTGGGGAGGACTTAATTGCACCCATCTGATTGCTGGCTTTGCACTGATATCGTCCTGCCTGCCAGGGTTTCAGGTCCCTGAGGATCAGATCTTCTTCATACTTGTACACCCGGCGGTCCAGGAGGGTCCCATTGTGGTACCTGGAGAGGAAACGTGCAGCGGTTTCGACCAGCGTAAATTCCCATGAGTCCTGCGTTTAATCCAGTAGAAATACCGCTTCCGATTTTGAGATGGTTTGGCTGTGATTGTACATCACAGTACATCCCTCATTACAGGGACTAGTGACCGGGAAGGGCAGTCTCATGTCACAGTTTGTGGGGAACTCGCGCTCTTGGCCGGTGGTGAGACCAGCAGCATGGTCAGCATGGCGACAGCATGGTGCCTCGCAGTACCTTAACAACGTTCAAGATTTCATGCCATCTGTAATTAATTTGATTAATTGATTAATTAAATCATTAATTTGCCATCTGTAATTTTTTTTTCTAGAACGTCAATCAGTTTATTTTGCTACCCCCATGTCACAAGCGGTCTGAGAAATGGGGGCCGCACCTCCCCTTTAAAACCTCGGCATGCTGGTGCCCTAGTGCAGAGAAGAAGTGAACGTTGGGTGGCGGAGTGGTGCAGCCTCACCAGTGGTATTTTTCCGGCGTGGGTGTGCCCGCGGCTTTGCAGCAGAAGGTCACTCGCTGCCCCTCGTATCGCACCTTGTCCTCTGGGTGCTTGACAACGTACGGCTTCTCTGCGCAGGACGGGCGTGGTGGGGGGGGGAAGAAAAGACAGAAAACGGCACCAGCCATTCATCATGTTCACTATTTCCCACACTCCATCATCAGATCTGGCAGGAACCGGGCGCCTCTTGAAGAGGAAGGCAGCGTGGGTCACTGGCTGGTTTTATTGTTATTGGACTGCGGCTTATAAACTGGGCCAGCTGAAGTGTAGCGGGAAGTTTTCTCTCTTTTTCTCCCCCCCCCTCCCCTCCCAAGCCTTTCGCAGGCAGAGTGAAAAACACAGGGCTCGGTTTTCCTGCCCCCGGATCCCACTTCCACTTCCTGCGCGCGTTACGTCTTCCAGCGCTGTGTTTTCAGCTGCGATCCCCTCGTCCGGCAGCGGTGAGGGAGGGAGTGGCTGCAAAGTTGTGCCCGTGAGGTCAGGCGCTATTGCGTTTTTTGGCGCACAAAATGGTGCCCGTGAGGTGGTACACGCTATGACCCTACCTGGGCCCGTAAAGTGTGAGTGAGAGGAGTCAGTCCAGCTCGGCCAGCTCATTGCACACTACCACGGTAGTTTATCCAAGAATTCCATCCAGCAGTGGTTCCCAATCCCGGTCCTGGTGCCCCACACACCTGCTGGGTTCTGTTCCAGCCGAGCCCTCGCTTCCACAATCGACCCCCTCGTTGACTTGAGAAGAAAAAGATCTGAGCTGTTTGGTCCCGGCTCTTCGTCACGTTGGAGCTGTAACCGGTGTATTTTGGGAGAGGAAAATCCAGAACTTGTGACTCGAAGCAAAACGCAAACATTCCATCGGAGCCGCTCCTGAGATCCAGCGAGGCTTCGGTTATCTGATGGAGGAGGGCTGGAATGCAAACCAGCAGGCGTGTGGGTCACCAGGTTCCCTGTCTTAAGGGCTGCCTAGGAATCGGCTGCAATGCCCTCCCGCCGCCCAGTGCTAGTTCCGTCCAGGAGCGTTTTTTCTGCAAGACTCACCAGCCATCTGCAGGACGGCGTCCACCCAGGACGCTCCGGTGCCGTTGCTGAGTGCCGGGAGGGTCACAGGGGCAAACCCCTCCCTCCTGATGGTGACGGTGGTCTGGGCGGTGGAGCAGACCCCCGAGATCTTGAAGGCCCCCCTGGCGTCCGTTCTGGCCCTGACCGCTCTGGTCCGGTTGGCCAGGAAGACCCGCGCCCCCGCGACCGGGACCCCCGTGAGCGTGTGCACCCGCCCCCGCAGCAGGTGGTCCTCGCAGACGCAGCGGGCGCAGTCCTCGCTGGGACCCCCCTCGGGGCACGAGCGCTGGCACGCTGGAACACAAGGAGAGGGTCTCTGCGCTGTTTCACATTCTCCCCCACCCC